ACACACACACACACACACACACACACACACACACACACACACACACATGCACACACACACACAGAGATAAGAACATTACCATCCGCCTACGCCTTCCTGCAACAAACTTACTTGTTCCAGATGGCGTTTCAGCACCTGCAGGAAACACGGAGAAGTTAGATGAAACTCACCGCTCCCGTTATTTTTGTGAGATGTAACGGGTGGTCCGGTGCGTTCTTACTGCGAGGCCGTTTGCAGATCACGCCGTGCGTTCGGTTCCTGCAGGAGCCGGGCTTCCACGTGCCGCTGTTGCTCTGGATCCAGAAGCAGGAGTTGGCGGAAAGCACGGAGAAGGCCACGTTGTGCGACTCCCAGTTGGTGAACGTCATCTCCGTGTCTTCGTTCCACACGAGACCTCTACCTGCGGCGGCAACACGAGCACATTCAGAGGTCGCCGTGCTTCCTCTCACCTGGACAGCTTCTTATGGATTCTGTCTCTGTAATTACCGGAGCGATGCACATTTCACACAAACTGCTCTGATTGAAAGTCGTGAATTTTAAATCTGTTTACTTTAAAAGGCACCGTGTTCATCACGTTTTTAATCAACGTAAAAAAAAAATGTTGATCCCGTTTCCTAATTTAATTTTTTTAATTACCTTTATTTTCAGGGTTTTATTCCGGCAAGTATAAAAAATAAGGACAATTATTTGCAAATAATTTGTCTCAAAGTGAACTAAAACTAGAAAGAATGTGTTTTCTGCAAAATGAAGTGTGAAAGTTGCGTTCTGGCGCTGAGTTAAAACAAACAAGAATATTGCTAAAATTACTAAAACACAAGCTACAATGAGCCGAACATGAGCTAAAAGCAGCAAAACCGCAACTAAAAAACTAAAAACAGCATATGAGGAGCTAAAAGAAGCACGATAGTAACTAAAATTTGCAAAACATTCTACAAAATAGACGCCAAAGCTAAATTTATTAGTAAAGTTATTGACTGGTAGCTTAAAGATGACTCAGCGAGACTAACCTGTATAAATAAAGGATGAATGAAAGAAGCAGAATGGTAGGTAAAAGCCAAAAGCAGCAAAATAGTAGCTAAAAGTTTAAAGCAGCATAAGAAAAAAGATCAAGTATGCCGAGTCAGATATCAAGCATATTTTTAATGGAATTGAAAAGCTTAATGTACTTCTATGTGGAATTTTATTTTAAATGAAGGTAAATAAAAAAAGTCCCTCGATACTTTGCGGTTTGACTTTCACAAATTCACTCTTTCGCAGGCTTTTGCCATGAGATTGTACGCATTGTTTCCCGGTGGCCTGGCTGCTCAGTGATAGCCAAAGGCCCCCTACTTTCTCTTTCCGAGGCTATCAGCCTCGGAAAGAGAAAGTAGGGGGCGGGGTTTGTCTTTCCTCATCGCTGCTGTGGGAGCTTCAGAGAGGCGGATACCAGAGTGAGATGCATGGATTGTTTATTAAAAATAATCAAGCGCAACCCGAACCGAGCCGACCCGGTGCTCCCGATGGCCAGTCCACCCCCGGGGGGCTGATTGGCTCTGTAACCATAGCATCAGTCTGTTTGCTCTCTTTCGCTGTGCTCTTTTAGAGCGTTAGGAGAGTTTAGAACATTGCAAGAGTGTGGGAAACGTTTCTAAAGCATTCAAATAAATATAACGTCCCTCCTTTGTGGATTTTCACCTGCAGGGGGGTCTGGAACGTAACCCACACGAAAGGTGAGGGACTACTTTATTTGGAAAAGTGTAAAAGATACAAACCCCAAAGTCTTGGCAGACTTTTCCTATTCAAGCTAAATGTTTTGATCCATGAAGGATTAAAATAGCACAAAATAAATGTACAGAAGAAGCTATGAAGAGAAAACGATCGTGTTAATAGTTCACACTATTTAAAAGCTTGCGTTTGTAAAATAAGTAAATAAAAGGTGAAGGTCAGTGGGTTGGTGAGGCAGCTGGAGGACAGGTTCTGAGGCAGATACTGGACCTTTCACGCTGATGCCCAGCCAAGCTCCACGCGCCTGCTCTGAATAACTCTGGATGTGCTCCCAAATAAAACCGTTCTCTGCCTCATCCAGGATGGACAGAAGCTCTGCTCCCACTGAAAACAAAAAGAAGAGAAAGAGATTGATCACGAGGGGAAACGAGACCATGTGGTCGATGAGAGGCCTCCACATTCAGGCAGATATTGATGCGTCGTGTTGATTGTGTTTGTGGCAGAGAAGGAGGTCAGAGGTGCTGCGGGTTTAACGCTTATGAAGCACTCACACTACTGTGATCCATTTTTCTTCTGTACGTTTTTCGGCGTGATTCTCGTCTCGCAGTTTTCAATCTATTTCCAGATCATAAATCAGAACTTTCAGCTCTTTCAGGACAATCCTGCTGATTTTTGGTTTAGTTACGACTTCAGCTTTTTGAAATATTTAGCCTTTTCTGCCATTTTTTCCTCATATAAAATGAAATGAGCTCATTTTACATTATTCATCTCTTTAGATCTGTTTACAACCTTTTTCGGCTATTCTCAGCTAATTTTAGCTGTTTTTTCAGCTGTTTTGTGCTCCTTTCTGGTTCTTTCTTTTCTTTCTGTGCAAACTACAACATTATTTTGCTTCTTCTAACTTCTTTCTGCTAATTTCAGCTTGTTTTGCTCCTTTCAGTTTATTTCTGCAAGTTTCAGCTTTTTCTACAATTTCAGCTGCTGTATAGCTCTTTTTATGCTAATTTGAACTTTTTCAGCTAATTCCACAATTTTGCACTTGTTTTAACATTTTTTTCAGCCTAATTCAGCTAAAATGTGCTCTCCACCTTTTTCTTGTAAGTTCAGCTACTTTCTGCCTGTCTGGCTATTTCCAGCTGTTTCTTTTTATTGTTGTTGCTAATTTCAGCTTTTTTCAGCTAGTTTCCACTTTGTGCAAATTTATGCTTCTTTCAGCCTAATTGGGCAAACATGTTCTTGCTGCTTTCCTATGATAATTTAAGCTTGTCCTACCTTTTCAGCTAGCTTTTAAACTAATTTTAGCAGTTTTCAGATAAAGTTCTTCATGGTAATCTGTGCTACTTACAGCTTAATTAACGTCTTTCTGCTAATTTAATCTTGTTATGATCCTTTCATCTTATTTCTGCTAGTTTCAGTTGTTTCAGCTACTATTTAGCTGTTTTATGCTAATTTTAGCTTTTTCAGCCAATTCCACATTCTTTGTACTCATTTCAACTTTTTCAGGCTAATTCAGCAAAAATGAGCTCTCTCTACTTTCTTCTGGTAATTTAAGCTTCTTTATGCTTTTGAAGCTACTTTTCAGCTGGGTTTTTTTTTTGGTGCAAATTTTGGCTTTTTTTAGCTACCGGTAATTTCCTAATTTTTGTGCTAATTTCTGCTTATTTAAACTTATTTCGGCAAATGTCTGTTCTTTCTGCTTTTTTCTAATAACTTTGGCTTGTTCTTCCATTTTAGCTACATTTCAGCTGTTTTTCCAGCAGGTTTTTGCAGGAAATGAAATTTCTCTAGTTGGCTTTACAGCCGGCGCTGTGCGCTGCTGCCGTACTTTTGTTGCAGGACGTGCGTGCATCCTGCTGCAGTCGGAGAAGCTGCAGGTTGAAGGCGTAGCAGTGGTTTCTGAAGGGCACCCAGGCCCACTTGCCCACAGAGTGGGGGCACTGTCCGGGGTAGATCCACTGATGACTCACAGGCTCATCTGTCGGGAGGAGAACAAATTCTGTGACTGGAACTCTTCATCTTCTTCTTCATCGTGCATACGTGCTCACATACCATTAATCTGACATATCGCGGCCTCCAGTTTAGCATCACAGGGAGTCATGGTCCACTGCCCTGTGGTGGTCATGTGACCACATCCAGCCATCTGATTGGGCTCTCCGTCTTTCCAGTTGGAGTATTTCACCTCTTCATCACCTAACCAGGTGAAGCTCCGTCCCTGAACAGAAGGAGGAAATATTATCTCTTTCACCTGACCGACATATAATAATCCTCTGTGTATGACATCTAAACAAGTGATGTGTTAAATATTGTGCAAAAGTTTCAAACTACCTCTGACTTCTTTATACTTTGTTTCCAAGCATCCAGACTCTCCTCTAGTTCTCTGGGCCTTTTGAAGGTCTTTTAAAGTTTTCTCGTGGACTTTGGCAGCTTCTTCCCTTTTTTCAGTCTAATTATTTTACCGGACCACAACAGAATATTCCACATTGTGCAGTTAAAGATGTGGAAAAGCTGAGTCAACCCCAGGACTGAAGAACTATTTACATCAATATATGGAAATTATTCTTTAAGAAAAAAGACCTAATAAATGCATCATCCTTCAGATATTAAGGTATCAGCTATAAAGGCTATTCAGGAATCACCTTGTGATTAATATATAGATTAACTGAGCTCGTTCCAATCAGTGGTCCACAACATACTTATAAAACCAGGAAAAAGCATCTTATCTACACCAAAAATAGAAGACTTAAAACCACTAGTTGAACCTTTTCTTGCAGGGGCCCACAGATTTGGATCGAGCTTGGCGAGAGTTTGAACGGGTTGAAATTCATCTCCACCTTCAAAAAAACAGTTAAAGACCAAATTGCTTTGTTTAAGTACTTGAGCTCACTGGTAGAACCTGTAACTGATTGATCAGAGCCAACATAATCTGTATTGTATGTGGAATTTTTTATGAGGAATGTATGATGTATTTATAGTGTTGTAATTATTAATACGTTATAAACTGTATGTAATTATACCCTCTATAAGCTTTAAATAGCTTTTCGGAGATCTGATTCATGCACTGTTATCTTGCAGTTACGTATAATGTTTTATGATTCTCTCTCTGTGTGTGAATAATCTGAATAAACTGGAAAATTGCAAAAATATCGTTTTAATTTAGATTGTTGTCTTTGGCCATTTTTTTTAGACTTACCCGTTAAAAACATGGATTTGAGTTGTGTTTTAGTGACGTTCACTGGTAAAAAAAAGTCTTAATTATTTAATTTAAAATCCAAAAAACATCAATTACGCAGGTATATCCTTTGAGTTTAAGAAGCTTTTTTGGCGTTTGAATGATTTTCAGCTTTAAGTGGCATCAGCCACAACAATAAAAATCCCCTTTGCATAACTGTAATCTTAAAATAGTCGTGCACTGGACTGAAAATGAGTAGAAGAGCAGCCAAAGTCATAAAATAAACTACTTTCAGAAAGTCCGGAGCTACGTTTCTTAAGACCACTTTAAAATGGTTATGAGCAAATCCAGCTCCTTGGAAGCAAAATATAAAGAAGTGAGGGGCTCAAGACTTCTGCACAGCTCACTCCGTAGTTGTAGAGAGCGATCCAGGCGGGCTGGTGCAGGCTGTTGATAAGCAACGAGAGATAAGCCTGCTGGAAGGGGTCCGTCACTGTGGCCAGGGTCCCGTTCAAAGATTCACAGAGGTACAGGGCGCCGGTCCAGTCCAGGCGCTTCTTCACGACCCGGTACGTCACCCCGCCCAGCTCCACGGGCTTCGACAGGGAGGCGGGGATGAGGGCCGGAGCCGGAGGCAGACTTTGATCTTAAGCCAGAAAAAACAATTTACTTCTCTGTTTTCGCATGGACCTGCGGCGCGGTGGTTACCGAGTCTCGGACCTTGTTGCTTTTGACAGATGAAGCCGTTGCTCTCCATCTCGCAGGCCCGGGAGGCCCACATGCCCGTTTTCTTCTCTGGGTTTCCGTGAATCATCACCACACAGTTTCCCTGAGGCGGCAGTGAGACCATCAGCGCAGCGACAGACAGACAGGACGACAAATCGACCGGCGGTTTGTAAATACCGGCGTTTTGTTGTGATGTGGTCCGCTGTTGTCGAGCGGCTCTCCGGGAGCCCAGTTGGTGTAGCTGAGCAGCCCAGATTTGGCCCACTGGAAATGGCCGATGGAGTCGGAGGTCAGCCCCACCCAAAGGTCGACACTGACATTCTTTAACAGGGTGGTGAAGAAAGCTGTACGGGAGAGAATCGGTTGCGTCACACATTCTTGACGTTCCAGCGTGTGATTTTATAAATTACCTTGAAGCAGATGATTGGGGACCACCGCCAGCACGCCTCTCTGGGAGTCACACTTCAGCTTGGCTGCGGACCAGGTGACCCGCGGGGACTGATCAAACACCCTGAAGCACTAGACACAGCAGAGAGATTAAAGTAAAGGCCTGGCCCTCCTGGAAGGCCTCGAGAACCTGGCGCTGCACCTTATGCTGAAAAGACGACCACTTGTCTGGACAGCCTGCTGGAGGATGAGGGGCTGATGGAGTTGGAGGGATGGTCCCCGTCACGTTCACTCTCTTACAGATGTAAGGCAGGTCAGAGTGACACTTCTGATCGGCCCAGTCACCTGTCCACAGGTAAACAAAGCCAGCTGCGGTCAGCCGTTTATGCCTCTGGCAGGGATTATTTCTGGCTGGTCCTACCTTTGCTGGCAGACACGTGCACACATCTGCGGTCGCGGCTGAGCGGGAGCGGCCTGCCGAGCGCCCACGAGACGTAATTGAGCACAGAGTGGTCTGACCAGCGGAAACGCCCGTCGTTTTCAAAGGTGTGGAGCCCGAGCCACCAGCTGTCTCCCTCCGTCTTCACCAGCTATTTGAGAAGTACCGTTAGCATTTATGGTATTTGAGAAGTACCGTTAGCATTTATGGTAAAGCTTTTACCAACAATATGCTGCCGAGACAACCTGTCGTCCAAAACACGGCGTCCAGGACGTTTATTACTGCAAATATTTACAATATTAAACAGTATTTTAATAGTCTATATGTTATCAGTGACAGGATTGTTGTCTTGTTTTTAAACTAAGGTTTGTAATCTCAGTCATCCAGGTACACAAATCACAAAAAAGTTAAATCACGTCATCTGGACAGTTTCTTTTTGGAAGCAATCTGAAAGACTTCATCAGTCTGAGGCCTGCCACCAAGGTCTGTCATATAAATAGCACCTTATTGATGTCCAACAAAGTTCAGTGAGGTCATCTGGATGGTTTCTTTTTTTTTTGTTGTTGAGACCTTTTGTCCTTAATCCAAAGGACTTCAGCAGTCTGCGGAGCCACAACAAAATCAGTCCCAGAAGCAGCACACTCCTGCGGTGTTTGCTGGTGATAAGATGGTTTCTGGGGCCCGCCCTCTCCCCCGTCGACTCCTCTGAGGCAGACAAAGCCTTGTTGATGCGTTTCAAGCCCGCCTGCTGTGGAATGACAGACCTTGGTGGCGGGCTGATGAAGTCTTTCGGATGAAAGACGAAACGTTTCTTACGAAAAGAATCCGTCCAGATGGCATCATTTAACTGTTTTGTGTTTCGTGTTTTTAGTTTCTCCCTGTAAATTTGTTTGCAACGAAACTTTTATTCAGCAGATATGCTAAAACATTTGGCTTGATCAAGAATAGTGTGCTTTGACTTTTAGTATTTGTAACCTTCAAAGTCCATGCTCAGTAATCCAGGTATACAATCCAACAATTTTCAGTCAGGTCATTTGGACAGTTTTTTGTTGTTGTTTTTTTTGTGCTGAAATGTTTCACCTTCCATCCAGAAGGCTTCATCAGTCAAGGAAACAACACAAAACTGATTCTTCCCCCAACAGCTTACTCCAAAGTGGAACAAACCAGTTATGTTGGTGCTAAGATGGTGCCTTTGGCACGCCCCCTCCTCCGGTGCCGGCCCTCTCCCTCGTCGACAGTCATGTCAAACTGGTTCAAAACCAACAAAGTCCATGCTCAACAATGATGAAGCCTTCTGGATGGAAGGTGAAACGTTTCAGCACAAAAAAAAAAAAAAAAAGAAACTGTCCAGATCAGACTGAAAATTGTTATTTGTAACCTTATTTTTTTTTATTTATCTAAAATGTATTCCTGAATTTGTTCAAAATCATTGTTTCCTTTGAAATCTACTTCTGCCTGTCTAACATCGTTATGTCAGGTCCTCTGGATGGTTTATTTTTGTTGGAGCATTTTGTTTTCCATCCAAAGGACTTCATCAGTCCGAGGAGCAAAAACAAACTCAAGTCCCAAGTCTTTTTATACTTTTTGCTTTTAGCTACAGTTTTGCTCATTTAGCTTTTAGCTATGATTTTGTTCAGATTAGCTTCCAGATGTTGTTTAGCAAACTTTGGGTTTTAGTTACGTTTCTTTTTGATTTTAGCTCTCCTCGTTTTAATTTCATTAATTCGGTAAGTGTCAGTGAAGACGTTCACGCTGCATGGTGGCGATGCAGAATTATTCAAGTTAACGCACCAGTTTATGACCGTTAGCTGTTTGACTGAATGTTTTTATGCGATATTCTTTTACCCACAATAAAAATCTTTGACGAGCCGTGCTGTACCTTGCGTAACGTGTTCGCCAGGAACGCCTGTTCATCCGCTGAGTGGACGGAGGTGAGAGAGGAGTCGAACCAGGAGCAGATCCTCTGGGCCTGATCCCAGGTGGTGCGGTGGTCAAAAAATTTGTACTCCGCCTCCTGGAAGGGGATCCACTCGGGTGAACTGGTGCCTGGAAAATGATGATAATAAAAAAAGGTGATGCTTCCCACACACAGTCAGGATGTGATTTAAGTTTGCAAAGAGAAAATAAAATGATAAGACCTTCAGTGACTTCTGGTACTTTCTCAACGCTTCCTGAAAACGTGCATCAAAAGAACAAAGTGTTCAAATAAGGAAAACACAGTCACCCTTAATAATATTTCAGAAACACAGTGAGCAGACGTTTGGAGTTATTTTCACTTTTTATAAAGAGCAGCTTTAATAAAAACAAGATCTCGTGCGAGTTTCTCTTTAACAGATAAAAAGAAAGGTCCAGGAAAGTTGTACCTCTGGGAATCTTGCAGATCCAGTCCAAGTCGGAGTCGCAGTGCATGGCCAGCCAGGTCATGGTGCCCAGGTCTGCAGCCGCACACTGCCGGATGTTGTAGTAGTACCGCCCAAAGTTCTGGTACGTTAGCTGAGACACAAGCAGAGAGCAAAACTACATTTTAACCACTTCTGGTCCGTTTCTGTTGACACCAGCGGACGTTTGGGTTCTGTTTGCACTCACGGGCAGCCCGTCGCTCCACTTCCAGCTGCCGTTGTCCATGGGATTCCTGCGGTTCAGTCCGATCCAAAACCAGTGCTGCTCGTGCTCCTCGGACTCCCTGCGAGGCAAAGTCAAGGAGTTTTGGACGCACTTAAAGAGAACTTTTATTTTTATGCAACTTGTCTTATTTTACAAACCGGTTTTAACTTTTAAACTAAGCCGTTTGGTTAAGATGTACAAAACCAACCAAACGAAACAACAACAAACAATATTAAGTGGAAAGAATAGATCGAGATCAATCTTGAATGACAGTTTTACAACTCCAATAAAGTTTGTTTGGTCTGTTAAAACTAGAAAACACATATTTCATGGCATCTTGAACAAAGTGGCAATTCTAATATAATTCTCATGTGTCCTTGTGCACAAAGAGTACGAAATCAACAAGAGAAATTATATTTTCCACAAAAATATGCAGCTTGCATACGGTATTCAGTGCTCAATGACTTGCCTGAAATTTGATAAAGTAGCTGAAACTAAATGGCTTAACTTACACCAAGTTGAACAGAAGCTAAAATGAGCTAAATTGTTACAAAAACAGAACAAAACACTAGCTAAAAGCAAAAAAAGCTAACCAAATGCAGCTAAAAGTAGCACAAGTCTAGCAAAAAGCAACAAAAACTAGCTAAAATTAAAATAATTCTAGCCTAATGCAACAAGTTGTAAAATGTTAGCTATATGTCACAAAAAAAAAGCTAAAGGTAGCTAAATACTAGCTAAAGTGTCAAAGTTGGATTGTAGATAAAAGCAAAAAAGTAAAGGATGTTTAAAACAAAAACTTAAATGTAGCTAAATGGTCAAAGTAGAAAAATACTACCTTGAAAACCCGTAGTAGCAAAATCTTAACTGAAAGTTGCAAAAATGCTAGCTAAAAGCTAAATGTAGCTAAGTGCTAGCTAAAGAAGCAAAATGCTGAATCAACATTCATCCGATACTAAATGTTTTGTGACAGTTTCATAACGTGCCATTAAACACCACGTGCGCTGGTTCTGAGTCCAAACCCACCCAAAGGTCTCGTGGAGGATCTGCAGAATGAACTGCTCCTCCTGGGGGCTGCTGATGCTCAGCAGGTCGGCTCCATGTTTCCGGCAGAACAGGTGAGCCTGCAGCCAGCTCTGCTTCTGCTCCAGCTGGGAGGAGTGAAACACCTGAACGCAGGTGACGGAAAGTTGTTAATTGGGTCCAGTTTACAAAATCAACAGTTTGATTTTATTTAGGTTTTTTTTCTAATTATCTATCAGGTCGGAGGCAATGTGTTTGACACAATGGCACTTCGTCTAGCTATTTAACAGTCACTAATGGTGTGCCACAAGGCTCAGTTTTAGGACCCACTCTTTTTACAGTTTATTTAAGTAATGTAGGTCAGAACATTCCTGATGCCTCCTATGCTGACGATACAATTGTTTATTGTCGAGCTAACACATTTGCCAAGGTTTTCCAGCTTCTACAGTCTCAAACTGGTGCTAAATGCTGATAAAACTAAAGGGATGTTGTTTTCAAACAGGAAGTTGGTGCCGGCAGTTCTTCCTCTTATCTCATCCAAGCATGGTGTTCCTGTTGTTTGTGGATTCTTACAAATACTTGGGAATTTCAATAGATGCACAAGTCTCTTTTAAGCCACATGTTGAAAACTTGATAAAGAAATTGAAATTGGATTTATTTTACAGAACTAGATCTTGTTTAACGCTGAATGCCAGGAAACACCTTGTAGCTGCTACTTTCCTACCAGCCATAGATTATGGTGACTTTATTTACATGAATGCCCCTGCCAGCTGCATGCAGATGTTGGATGCCGTCTATCACGGAGCGTTAAGATTCATAACTGGTCATAGCTACCATACCCATCACTGCACCCTGTACTCATTGGTCAGATGGTCTTCATTATCTACACGTAGGCTCTCACACTGGTTCATCTTCATCTATAAATCCCTCCTTGGTCTGCTTCCTTCTTATATCTCCTCCCACGTGTCACGTCGTCAGTGCAGTTACAGCGTGCGCTCTCATAGACTCATTACTTGTAGCGCTCCCTCAATGCAGACTGAACTAGGGGAAAAAAACCTTTTCTTACTCTGCTCCTGTAACCTGGAACACCTTAAAAAAAGATCTGAAGATCTGATTTTGATTTCTTTAAAGGATTTTAAACATTTTATAATGCCAATAGAAACATCAAAGCAAATGTGCTCGTTTTTAGTATTTTACCTTGTTTTATATGGCACCTTGATTTGACTGTTTTTACAACTAGATGTACTTTTATTTGATTTTAATTGTTTTTTCTAGAATTATTGTTGTCTGTACTCTATATGTTGTATGTCTACAACAGGAATCTCTTGTAAAGGAGTGACTCAATGAGACTAACCTGTATAAATAAAGGTTGAATGGACTCAGTGTTAAATTATAACTGTTGGAAAACAACACTGATTTTATATTATGAGCTGTAAAACGTGACGGTCGGGTCAGGTTCGGTGGGCGGGTCGAACCTTGTAGCAGTAGTGCAGGTTGTTGTTGCTCTTCCAGCTGACGGGGCAGGAACCGCTGAGGCTCGGGGTGGGCTGAGGGACGGGGGGCTCGGGGCCCAGGGACGTGTCCTGGTTCTGGCGGCAGATAAATTTCGCCTTCGCAGACGAACACTCCTTCACCTCCCACAGACCTGTAGCGGAGCCTGTTGCCATGACGACGCAGCCGCCACGGACGCTCACTAAAATAGATGTGGAGGGAAAAATGTGAGTCAGGAGGTAAATAAAAGAATAATTAAAGCAAAAAAAAAAAAGCTGTGATTTAAAAAGAAAAAAATATGATTTCACACATCCTAAAGGATGATTGGAAGATTTTGATCTGGTCTCAAAATACAAGAAGCACAACTAGTGGTTAACACATCACTATCTTCTAAACAAGCATATGTTCATAACTCTGGTAGACAATCTGTTTCTCCAGGACTCCGTGGCCTCGTCCGATCAAATCATTACTAATCCTGATATTTCAGTTCCGTTTGCAGTTTTCAGCCTCCAATAGCAAACATCCGATTGTGCGTTTTATTGTGCACTTGACCTGGTTGGTCTCGATTCCAGTTGGTGTAGGACACCTCATCTCCGCTGAGCCAGTGGAAGGAGCCGTGAGTGTCCTGGTTGTGAAGCCCGATCCAAAACGAATCTTTTGAGTGACCGAACACCAGGCTGTTGGCGAAGGCCTGCTCGAACCTTTACAGATGGAAAAATAAAAGAGACGGCACCCAGAAGCAAACACTTTAAATTGTTTTAACCGCTGCCAGAAGGTTTGTCGGTAATTTACCACCAGCCTTCGTGAAGTTTTATACCTGTTGGTAATGGTAACAAGGGCGGCTTCGTGCGCCTCACAGGATTTTCTGGCCTCGTCGAAGGTGAGCAGATCTTCTCCCACCCAGTAACAAGCCGGACTGTGCCACTTCCAGCCCTGAGAGGAGATGGAGTTCAACTTAAACCAGTTAAAGTGACCAGTGGTGTAGTCTACGCAATACACAAGCATACGGCGCATACCCACTAGAAAAGTTTAAGAATTTCAGTACAGTAGTCCCTCGTTATCGCAGGGGATCCGTACCCTCAAGACCCACGATAAGTGAAAAACTGCAAAGTAGGACTAGTAGTACAAGTAGTAGTTTATTTTTATTGTATACATATTAAGGCATTTTAAACCCTTCCCACACTCTGGCAATATTATAAACCATGTTTCTAAACTCTAATCGCTCTAAAAGAGCAAAGAATGTCATGATTTCAGCTCCCTGCCTCCTCTGCTCTTTGCC